ATATTATCTTCAATATATGGATGAAAAAGCAGACTGGATAAAATCTTTGACAGTTTATATATTACTTTGACGTTTAGCCTGACTTACCAGTATACCCAGGATGGCAGTTACACACCACGTTATTTGCAAACACTGAACATGTGGCACCATTTAGACATGTGTCATCATCACACAACCCAGTGCTGACTTCACAGTTGACACCTTGCCAATCAGCTGGGCACACACACCGATATTTGTTATCCAACTCCACACATGTCCCACCGTTATAGCAGGGATTCACAGAACAGTACCCTGCTTCGTCTTCACAATGCTCACCCGTCAACCCAGGTGGGCATTTACAATAGTACTCATCAATGAAGTCTACACACGTTGAGATGTTTGGACATGGACTACTCAAACACTCGTCAATGTTTGTTTCGCAGTAAAGTCCTTCATAACCTGCCACACATTCACAGTGGAAGTCCAGAAAAAGATCTGTGCATGTCCCACCATTTTGACAAGTATCAGAGGTACAAGTCTTGATCCACTCTGCACAAAAAGGACCTGTATGAGACAAATTATTGTGATTAGTTTTCATTCAAATCTACAAAAATAATATAGACCATAAAAACTCAAAAGCTAAATGCATAATTTTATAGCGAACATGTTCTAACCTGGTTTCCAGCCATTTTGAGTACACCCAACATTGGCCTAATGAATTGCTATGCAACTACGTAGTCGACTGATTGGCTGTCTCCATAACTTCAGTACATTGTTATTGGGGGAATACACATGCACAGACTGACTTGTATGCAAGACCCAACCACTACACTCCAGACCATTGATTCACTAGTCTATTATATATAAAGTCTCACGATCATAGGTGCCATCTAGTCTAACGTTTCAAAAATGAGTTAAAACTGTATTCTTTTAGTTAACGCTAGTATAATACGTTATGCATAATATTGCAGGAAAATTTCTCAACAGAAGTACCATTTATAAACCCATAGGGAAGTGTACAGGGAAGTTTCTGTTTATTCTTTGTTGTTGGAAATATTGTTCATAACAATTTGTTGAGATACATGGAAATAAAATATACAAATAATGCAGTATATTTATATTAGCACAGTACTTGACAGAAAGAAACCATACAGTACATGTATTAATATGTACATTTACCCATTTTATTAACAAGCCGGGTTTATTTACACTGCTATCCCATAATATTACTACTGCATGTCAATCAACTTTTACAAAGTGTTATGAGAGTATCAGGTTACAAACTCAATTTGTACAGTTGAGTTATTACTGACAGCATCTGTCCTCATTGATTGAAACAAACTACCATATTTACACTATATTTCACATTTCACTAATATCTTCAGCCAGGTCATGGGATAATCTCTAGTGTCTGTGTTATTGGTACCATCATTTCAATTGCAATTTCTTTACCTTGTTCTAATTGGTTGATTGCATGTTTTTTATAACGCTATTAAATAGACAATATACCACAGTTTCCTGTGTTTAGGAGGAGGTGAATAACATACAGTAGGGTAAAATCCTCCTGTCAACCAAAATCGGCGAAATTGTTATTTTGCGTTCGGAACATTGCATGCAATGAAGAGCATTGTAACCCTTGGGAATTTTGAGTTCCAAAAAAATGCATGAAAAAAAAATCTTTTGGAATTACGCAAACAACGCCAAAAAAAAATGATTGCTGTTTGCAGTGGTTCACTCATGGATTCAGAAGTTTTGCCAATCAAAACATAATTGGGTGCACAACAATAATCGGTGTTCATATTTTTTTGAAATTATGTCAATTTTACATATATCAAATTAGAATTGTTAAATTTTCTAAATAGTTGCAATAAAGATCGGCTTTATCTTATCTTTTATCTCTATCAACATCAATATGACTGATAATGCACACTATAACAGTAAATGGCACCAGACAAGTGGGCACCTAGTGGATTTTGATGAAAGTGAATGCAAAGCGTTAATCTCTCTACAAACATGAGTAAATAAAAATATTTGGTATGTGCCCAGATCTTGTATCTTTGTATACACAACTATTGTTCTATTGTAAACATAGATTGGCCAGCAGGGGAACGGTCAACAGTCAACACCAGCAACTTTCAAAATGGGACAATTGTTTAGTCACAACTCAAGCAGCTGTTAGTCAATTCACAAGTGAGTTTGCCAACTTGCATCAACCAAAAGTCACATGGGCTGTTGAATTTAATGTACAGTTGTATTGTAATGTCCGCAGCAGAAACAAATTCTTTTGATTAATATATATACTGTCTTACCTGTGTAACCTTCTTGGCATTCACACTGATACATACTAGACGACAGTTGAACACAAAAACCATAATTACAGACACCGTCACTACATTGTCCAACTAAACTAGAACACTCTGGTCCTGAAAAGAAAATATAATATGCAAGAAAAAACTATTATTTGTGACAATGAAAAATGTAAATATATAACTGATATATCAAGAAAATCTTAAGGATAAGGCTGATTCAAAATGAAATTTTTATAACATTTTCATTTTATTAATAGGTACTTACCGGCAAATCCTGGTGGACACTGGCAGGCAAATAAATTCCCAGCATGCCCTTGGATCATATCAATACATGTGCTGTTATAGTTGCAAGGGTTACCATGGCAACCATCAATCTCCTCACAATAGTCTCCGCTATATGGTGGATTGCAATCACATTGAAACATACCGTCTTGCCGTCTGCTAAGGCAAACACCTTGGCCACTGCAAGTTTGTAAATTAGTATTCGCTTCACAGTTTCTTGGCTTCACTGTTACATTGAGTCGAAGACCAAAATCGCATCGGGAGAAAGCACCATCCGGAAGCTGTGCAAAGAAATTCACTCCAGGTTGCAGTAATGAAACATCAACAAAAACAGTTTCAATCGTTGCATATGGAACAACTCTCAAAGCATCCGGATACTGGTCACCTGGACAATCAATGAAATCCTGGTCAGAGACTCTGGCTGCATCTATATGTGGTAAAGGTATACCAGCAGGCACTAAGATTAGGAAGTCACCTTCCTGCATCTCTACAGGGCATAACTGAGGCAGATAAACAATACGAGAATTTTCAATTCCATGACATTCTTTGTAAGTGTCGCAGACTTGATCCAAAGACCAGGAAACCGTAATGTTAACAGGATTGTCTCTCCATATTGTCACATCACTATGGTTACAAGAAATGCTATTCACTTGATAAATGTGGAATAACATTAAACTCATCCACAAACAAATATCCATAGTTACTGAAGAGGCAAGCCATGGCATCAGCTTTATTCCACAAGCCGACATTCTGAGCTATTTAGGAAGGCAGTATGGAAGTATGTCAATGTTAATTTCACATCGCTGACAGAATTGAATGCAGCAATCACATGACCATTTGTTTACTCTAATCACAATAGTATCTATTGTAGAATGTACTTTTGTTTTTTGAAAACACAACAGAAACAATTTATTTTCATTCAATAATTCTCATTGTCATATCTAATAATTGTCATCCTTTGAAAAATAATTTCAGAACATCTGTTTAAAATTAATAAAAAGATCACAGCTTAAAAATCAAAATCACACACTAAGTCTGACCTGAAAATCTAATTTGCATCAAAATGAACAGTGTTCAATTTTAGTGTAATTTTGTTGGCACTTTTATATAATTTGCAAAATTTATAATGAATCTAACTGTACTTTATTTCAAAATTTCTTACATATATTTACATATAACATATTTCAAAAATATACTCAATTTCTACAATTAGAAAAAAAAATCAGAAAATAATAGGTACAACATTAAAATAAGATTTTATATAAATGATATTCTACTATGAATTTATTTATGCTCACTTATGAAATGGCAAAATGACAATAGTAAACTTGCGTTGGCAAATCAGTATAGAAAAAATCAACACAAAAATAATTGCCTCAAAATGACATTGCATTGCAGAATAAACCAAAAGCATCTCAGAAAGCAGAAAAATACAAAAATTGCATAAATTATTTCATTTATATTTAAATTACATTAACACCTAAGGATATATTAATAACATATTTATATTTAAATCATAATGATATAGCTCTCATACAAGTGTGGGTAGGAACATTTGGTTAATATAGTATAGTGAAAAATTGTATTTTATTATCTCTCGCTATTAATCAAATTTTGAATAATAGGTTTTGTCACTTCAATGTGCAGTTATGTTATAATTTGTAATATACGAGGACTATTATTCCTCGTAACATATGGTAACTGTGATTTGCATATGTCAACATGTGATTAACCGACTATTAATCTGTTTTTTCTGTCACGTAAGTGTCATTCTGCAGTGTCGATGGAAATTAATTCTTTTCAAACAGAGAAGTGATCATTGTTTTTCTGAAAAAAAAAAGTTTATAAAAAAAATTATTGCAAAAATACATAGGAACTTACAGCTATGCAAGAAAGTATGGAAATAAATAAGTAAATGTGACATTGCTCAATTTGTGTAGGATACCCAATGGTTTGAACACATACTGGTTATTGACAAAACAATGTGTCAATTTTTGGACTACTATAGTTGAAAAATGATAATCCTAGGAAAGAAATTGGTAGTCTACTAGAAATACAAGTATATCTGTGAAAGAAAAGGTTAGTACTGTAAAATACTTTATTTTAGCTGGAATTAATTTTTGCTGAAAACACTTTTTAAGCATTTTGCATATAATTTATTTTCACTGATTTTTGACAAGTTAAATGTGAAACATAAGAAAAAAAGTATATCTGCTGGATTTTATTTTCACTGAAACATTCCATCAGCGAAAATAGTGAAAATTAATTCTAAGTGAAAATAAAGTATTCTACAGTATTTATTTTTTTCCTCCAATGTTAATGCACATTCACAATAATCAAGAGTCACAATTCTTTATTACTGATACAAAATATAATTATTTTTCAATTACTGAACTTGTACATCAATTTGCAACACGTCATATAAATAATAAAAATATTCTTTGTATAGATTATTGTATTGAAACTTGTATCAGAAGGGCGTGTTCACAGAAATTGAGGTACAATAACCTTTGACCTCACAGTGATCGTTTCACATACATAAAGATTTGACAAATACATTCATTGTTCAAAGAAACTTAATTAAAAGTTAAAATATTGCAATTATTATACCTTTGAAAAATAAATATTGATATCACGGCCACTTTTATTAAACAAAATTCTGGGATCCAAACTATATTATTTGTTATTTTTCAATTCGCAGTACTCGAGAGTTGACCATTATGAATCATACACAATATATTATCCTTAGTCCTGACAGACATAAGCTGCAAATATTAATATTTAATATACAAACAAATAACATATGTATTTAATGTGATATTGCTTAAGTATATTTTATTTTACAAAATTATTAGTTAATATTTCAATTAAGAGAATAATTAGGATGTAATAACCATAATATAATAATAAAGTGGTTTATTGCCATAATATAAAATGTAATGGGTTTTCACAGCAGTGTAGCATTTTTATTTAGAATTCAAAATGTTCAAAAAGAGTTAACCACCAAATATTTATCTCTATGTTATTTTACCGTAATGCATTATCAATATTCAATTGGTGCAACTGTTAGGCAGCTGTATCCTTTATTTAGCATATCTACCCCGTAACCCGAGCATTTTCAGTTGTTGAGTTGGGTATTATGATATTAATATTTAGTAATCCCAGGGTTACATGGGCATGCATACAACGTTGAACGGGAGAGAATATGTAGAATGCCAATTTTGAGTCGCAAACATTGGCGAACATTTCCAAAAGTAGAAATCAAATCACCTGGCTGAAAAAAACAAGATTATTTGTCTTATTGAAATATTTTTAATGCCATAATTTTGCTAATGATTTTTTTTTTCTATAATTTATTTTTCAACTTTGAACCAATTTCCCATTTGGCTACAGCTTTTGATAAACATTTTTATAAAAAAAATCGGTAAAATTATGTGGCTTTAGTTTTGGTGTTCAAGGAGTTACACTGAAATTGAGGTTGGAGATTGGCAAATAATTTATTCATATACAATCTTTTCAAACTCAGGTTTCATCTAGTAAACCAATAAATAACTCAAAATATTGTTGAATAATAAAGCTTCTACTACCATCAACAACAACAACTATCACTTTGACCACCTGTAACAGGTAAGCTATATTCTTACTACAGTTACTAACAAGTCCAGAGTGTTTACATGTAATAACCAACTTTAGATCAATATTATTACAATCATTTGTGATGAATTATTTAGACAATTTATTTGTATTGATTTTTAATAATGTACTAGTTTATCAGTGCTGGATCCAGGCATATGCCCGCTTACTTCCATGTGGAAGTCAGATTTACCATAAAGAAAACCAGGATCTGCTACCGAGTAGGGCTCAAAATTATTTCTTAGATCCCACATGAATAACTTGATGCAACGCAAAATAATCAAATATTTCAGTCACGATTTCAATCAATGTAAGGTACTTTTAGTAATTATGGCCTGAAATTGAGTTCCTGCAACGAACAATGTTTAAGCCAAGATAGCTATTTAAATGTAAAACATAATAAAAACACACTAATTTTGAAAACGCAATAAAATGTATACAGAAAAAAGTTGGTGTATTTCATAGGCACTGATGCATATTAAAAGAATTCCTACATAATGGCCGCAACTGACGAGTTACGTCACCTGTGCTATTGCTAAGATCCTTCACGAAGTGATAACGCTGTGGCTGACATGTACGATAATTTGTATGCACGCCAACAGCAGTACTTGATGAACTGATCGAAAGTCCCAGTGACAAACAGTCTTTACTTAGAAAATATTTAACGGTATAAATACTCCATTGGTAGTAGATATGTTGATTCTTTACAAAAAATCAACTCGGAAGGAAATGCGAACGATCGCCATTACAGAGCTTGAAGTACATTTGGAGGCGGAATACCTGCACAAAATAGAATTCAAAACAAAGCTGGAATAAAATTGCCAATCGGTTTCTTACCTCTGACGGCCACGCGAATTAAATCCCAGTCGAATATTTCACGAGTCTGTCAACTGATATAAAATAACGCGTATCATTGACAATAGGGGGCATAACCACGGCATGTTGACGTTCTAAACGATCCATTGAAAAGCGAAAGGAATTCCTTTATTATAACAGGTGGAGCTAAATAACGTGCGCAGACGGGGTTACTTTTCAATTCAAACCGCGCATAACCAGCTGACTCCCTGGCTTACTCGCCTCTCGCTACTGAGCCATTGAAATTTCTATCATTCCGGCCTTTTGTTGTATATTTTTTAACAAAAGCATTCGCAACCACCAGCGACATCTTTAGTTGTTTGATTTAAATTAAAGTGTATTTTTTCAAAACGGGTATTAGGGTTTATAATCGGCGCCGTCCTAGGGAGTCATTATGCATTGCTGAGTACAAAATGGCTGGGCCCATTCATAAAATGGCTTTTCGTGTTAACAACAAAACAATGTCGTGATAAACTACACTTTATATTGTTATAGTGGTTGGCACCAGAGGTTAGTATTATTATACGTTATATGTTTTTATAGTAAAACTGATCGTCAAATACCGATTGTCAAATAAATCATTCAACCACGATACACCCTTGCGTTTCGACATTGATACCTGTCGATTTCACGTTCTGCATCGTTGTTTCCGGTACATTGCACCCCTCGTATTCATTTTTGTACAGGATGTATTCTGTCGTTGCCACGGTGCTTATTACGTATGGATTTATAGATCTCTATAATCGATTGCCTTCATTTCCACAGAGTCCACAGAGCCGTACTCTGCCGTAATCATGTCGTCTTTGGGTGTGCTGTGTTTCAACCATTGCAGTCCCGTCAATATATTTTGTTTTGAAATGCCCGATAACTGTCCACTATGTGGTACTTTACTTGACGTATCACCCTGCCAGTCACCGCCTTTCAGAATACCTAGTCCCTTTGCTAATGGTATAACCAAACCGTATAGTGTTGTTGTTAAACCTACAGAGGGAACTTTTCTTCAGTAAGTACATGTATAAGTGTTTTTAATTTAAGTGAAAACTGACAGTCTTTGGAATTACACCTTAAGAATCTTTTATTTGTTTTTTGTTATCCTCAGAAGGATGGTCATAATATTAAAATACCGATAGTTAAATGAAACACCATCTTCAAAATGAATGGTCATACAGTAACACTCAAAGTAACTTTTAAAAGACTACTACAGTAAAAACTAAATGATAGGATCAGCATACTAGTGGTAGAGTGTGACTAAAAGTGTATTCCCATGTTTAAATCCGGGATCCATGTGATGTAGATCTTATACAAGTCTGAATTAACATTCCAATTATTTATGTTTTTAGGCATTACGAAAGAAATTCTAATCTTCATGTTGGCATTACAAGCTCAAAAGGTAGGTGTATACAGCTGTTTTTATTAATAATAATTGTTAAATCAGCTTGCTGTCTGTATAATGGGCTAGTTTTTTGCAATTAAAACATTTCCTCCACTGTCCATAGTTGCTTGTTATGTTCAGTTGTGTATTCTATCACCGTTGAGGGATGGTGATTCTATGCATCATTAATGATAGTCATAACTATTATGTAAAAAGGTGTGAATTATTTATTTATTTGTGGTGTGCTCTGTTTGTATACTCTTTTTTTAGAATGACTACCGGATATAACAAAATTAAATTAAGAAAGAAAATATATTATTAGCATGCTTTAAATGAATGGACAGTGATTTTTGGTTTTCTTCTCCAGGTGCCGTGTATAACTATGACGAGTATGGTCTACATAAAGTTAAAGATAAACATAGTTGGAAACAATCTGTAATTATACCGTTACTAGACAATCGCTATGACGATGAATTGATGGAATTATGGGATGAATGTTTACAAAACTATGCAGTTACTAATGAGTGGGACCCAGACAAGTGAGTATAGGATCATTCCTCTATTTCTAGATAAAAATGATTATTTGTTGCTAAGCGACATCACTTACATTACTGATAACACTTTTATTGTTAATTGAGAGCTTATTGCAGTCTGCTTTTGCATTGAAGTTCATCTCTCAGTGGTTATTTGGACCATTATTATGTTACCATGAGATGCCATGAGATGTTTTAGGACTTACTAAGTGGCATTCTGGGCTGTGAGTTACTTTGGGCATTCTGGAACGTCTGGTTACTTTGGGCATTCTGGGCTTTGGGGTTACTTTGAGCATTAATTGATGGGTCCTGTAACTGGGCATTATGGGCTGTGGGGTTACTTTGGGCATTTTGGGTTGTGGGCTACCTTCAGGCATTTTGGGTTGTGGGCTACCTTTGGTCATTTTGGGTTGTGGGCTACCTTTGGGCATTTTGGGTTGTGGGCTACCTTTGGGCATTTTGGGTTGTGGGCTACCTTTGGGCATTTTGGGTTGTGGGCTACCTTTGGGTATTTTGGGTTGTGGGCTACCTTTGGGCATTTTGGGTTGTGGGCTACCTTTGGTCATTTTGGGTTGTGGGTTACATTTGGGCATTTTGGGTTGTGGGCTACTTTTGGGCATTTTGGGTTGTGGGCTACCTTTGGATATTTTGGGTTGTGGGCTACCTTTGGACATTCTAGGCTGTGGAGTTAGTTGGGACATTGTGAGTTTAAGGTTACTTGGGACATTGTGAGTTATAGGTTACGGTAGTTACTTTGGGGAACATTCTGGGTTGTTTGTTACTTTGGGACATTCTTCTTAAAGTGGGTTACATAAACTACTGAAAAAGGTTGATATGGTGGTTGTGGGTAGGATACACACACCCATGTGCTCAAATCATAGATTGTGACATACCAAGAGATGTCACATGGGATATCATTGATGTTTACCGCAGTTGCACTTATATACTTTCATAAAACATTAATCTGATCAAGTCAGGTCACTCATAATATTCCTCTAAGAATTGTTGACCTAATTATTATATTTACAGCCATTGTATGGCAGAAAGACAAATAAAATGTACTTATTTTATACAACCTTTAGAGAAAACTCATTATCTTACAGATATAATGAAGAAACTCACAATTGTTACGACTTTGTGATTGGTTTCCTGAATAACGTACAGTATAATGAGTTGATTGGAAAAGACCCACCGTACCTGACAAGAAAACAGTTCTGTACAGAATTCATCATTCCACACACCACCAAGGCTGCCCGTTACATTGATTTATACAGAAAAGTACAACAGGAAACATTTCTAGTCAAAGAAGAGTCTTATTGTTGAGGTTGTTTTTATAAACTTTGACCTTTCGGCTTTGAACCTTAATACTGCAATAACCGCACAATAAACAGACTTGATGAATGTATTTTTTGGTGTTCACACATTTGTTCATGATGACACTGGATTTATTTGTATCAAAAAAATGTTGTAATATCTTTTTGACAATTTAAACCATGTTTGTCCGTGTTAAATGTCAAATGCAAATTCAAAAATACTGTTCTTCTGTTTTTCCAATTTACACTGTAGTTGACCTTGCTATCAATAAATGTATTTATTATATTTTCATATTTTTTTTTAAATGTTGAACATTGACTGCTTTATAAAAAAACTGAATTTTCCACAAAGTACATTTAACAAATTTGTTATGTGTCCATGATTACTGAAATGCTCAGCTTTGCAAAGCTAGCATACCATATTTTCCCGGTCATAAGCCAAGAGGCCTCAATATGTAAAATCAGGGAAGGGAAAGTCATGGGTAAGCGTATAGATGATGACCACCTCACATTTGTTTAACATTGTAACCATGTTACCACCTTCTACAAATTATTCAAATTCCATTTTTCGTTCACCATGGCGAGCTAGGTGAAATATTACATCTTATAAGATCGTGTACTTATGTTTTGTATCTAACACAATGATTATGTAGTGTGTGTACTTAATTATATAGTATACTGTCACAGTGGTTTTCAGGAGTTCAGGGAGTTTCATTAGAGAGACTAATTGTCATCAGAAAAGCATATTTTGTTACTTAATTATTATATGTATATTTCTGTATTATATGTATTTATTCTAATAATAATACTATAGTATATATAAGTAAAGGATGTATAAGATAAGGGCATGCAACTAATATGATATGTGATGTAGATCTCAAAATCACAAGCGTACATTTCTCGATACACACATGTAAATGAGTGTGTCTGTGGATAAGTCGTTAGTTTCAGACTTTCAGATTACCTACCTGAATCTGTTTCTTCGCTTTGCTACCACATATTATGCAGATGTGGATCCAGGCATACACCCATCTACACACTGACACCAGTGTTGTAGTCACATTCACCAAAAATCACCCAAAACAGTCTTGGGTGATACTTACAGGGATAATGACTCATTTTTTATTTACACAATTGAACATTTCCAAGCATCTACTGCATAATGTGATGTCATAGTTTAGAAATGTGTTTAACTGATACTCACATGGATCTACATCACATTTCACCATGCATGGAGGTTACATATCCTTGCCTTATAAGTTGTACCTTTGTATAAGTTATATTAATGCAAACACTTACAACAGTTGAAGCTCTCAGCTCTTCAAGTTGATCCTTTTACTTTCTTAAATATAAATGTATTACTGCATTTTTTTTTGACTGAAGTCGACTGCCACGCTCCTAGTTCTAATGAAATCTTTTTGATATTGGTTCTTTAGAAAACACATCAAGAAAAAAGGGACAAGTTTGGGTATTTGTGCATATATACACGCTGGATGAAAAACATTTTTACAGCTCAGAGTATAGTGTTCATTTGGTAAATAACATTGCCAATGTGGCTTTGAATTAATGATATGGTATGTACCAGTAATTCAAATAACTTGAATGTGTAGTTCACTATCTCGTCAAAAAATGTTTTTTTTTTGTTAATTCAGAATCCAGTATGTACAATGAAAAATACTGACAAATGCTTAAATGTTTTGTTTTATTTGAAACAGAAGAGCCATATATAATATGTATATAATGCTTTATGAATTACATGGGTTACTGCATAGCTGGATGTCAAGTCTGTTATTCACTTTCAACTATTATCTCTTGCTGCCAACACAATATATATTGAAATTCCATTATCTACTTCAATACTACTATACCAGTTATCAGGTTAACATGGCAACTATCAAGTATGTATGCCAACTATCATATATATATATATATATATATGCAGACTATCAGTTATATATTCTGACTATTGGGTATATATGTCGACTATCAGGTATATATGACGACTATTGGGTATATATGCCGACTACATTTTTGGACTTAAGAATGGATATGGCTAACTAATAAAGGAGAGCATTTAAAAGTACTACAAATTTAACCATATATAAATATTTTTTTGCAAATATTTTGATCAATACCTGTTTACAATGACTAGTCCTGTCAATTTGTTTTCAACATTTATAACAAAGCAATTACAGAAAATTGCTGCAAGACTTGCAGATACTTTTAGAATGCATTAACCAATCTTTGTTACTTTTCTACTTTGAGCTTTATTGTACATCTTACTGGTGGTTTTAGTTGGTGGATATATAGTGTATAAATACTTGAATTGCATTAATAGCTTTAAATTGAAATATTAGCTAAATGTTTGACTTTGAATATTTCTTATCCGACATTTTCTTATTAATATAAATTTACCACCACCAATTAAATCAAGATTGCTTTATATTATAATCTCTGTGGGAAAGGATTAAGTATATGGACATACTTTTTTCAAACTGTAAATAGTTTTATAATGCATGTTGCATTAAATCAAATGCATCAAATAAAAAAATTATGTTGATTATTCAACTATGCAAAATACATTCTTCATATTAATTAAACAATTTACATATCAATGCCAACACATGTTGGTATCATCTTAAGATGGCTGACTTGAGTATATTTATTTTTTATATATCAACTATTGAATCATGCACATAATAATTACTGTAACACATGTAAATAAAGACTTCGTGCCATGCAGATTTGCTTACTGGTATGTAAAACCTCTATGAACGAATACATCTGTGAACTTAGCATTTGGTGTTTTGTTTAAACTTGTTTTACTGTATATACATTGGGCCAGTATCTTTATTCTTGCATGTGTTATTTAAATAAAACCTTGAAATATTTCATTTTGCATATTCATTGTGTTTTATTTGCTATTTTTATTACAATTTAATTGTTTTACATGTATTTATATGGTAAAGTAACACAATGCTGATATTTTCAGTCATTTCAGTTGTACAATGAATGAGAACAAAAACAGATCTCACTACAACATAGTTACAAATCTTGACGTATTGATGTAATTAGTGCGAGCGTTTCAACTATCCTTTCCCGACAAACTTTTCCCACTTCCTAAATTTTATGTATAACTGATGTATAACATTAATGTTATTAAAACAATACTGATTGGTACATCGATATCTACAACCACTGAAAACAAACAGAAAAAAAAAGTAGGACGAAAAATGCAATGTCGGTAAAAACAAAATTAAACGACCTTTATGAGTTGGGGGCGCTATAGCTGAAGAGGAACAAATCAGAGCATAACAAACAAGCGAACAACGCGGAAGCTGAATCATTCAAGATCCAACCCGCCACGGATCCGGTATGTTTTAAATTATTTATGACGAAAATGACGGCGTCTTTCTGAATTTGTTGTTAGATAAGTTTCTTCATTGTGTGTAATTTGCTGGTGGATCTAA